CAACTGAAAGTATACTGTTACTGTTTATGTAAATATAAAAGATAGGACTGTGTATCGTCAGTTTTACAGTCTCATAGACTAATAAGCCTATGTTTTTACTAATCAGCCAAATTTAACATCATAGCGTACTATTGTGCATCAAATTAAGTAACTACGTCAAAAATCCAAATCATAAAAAGACATTATTTTCAAGTTTCAATTGGATAAATAACGTATTAAATAAAAGTAGATGTTGTATACACTATACTATACTAGTTAACTTAAGTAAGACGCTACACTCATATTGAGCCGAGAAATAATAAATGATGAATAAACATTTGAATATGGCATTTATCAAGTGAAGAGCCATTAGGAATCACGGAATATTACACAAGAGTCTTGTTTCAGTGAACGACGCTTCAGTAACGAACAATAACCTTCAAGCCAGACAAAAATCTCCAACAGCAGCCTTTTCAATCAAGAACTAAAAATTTAAGCCTAAACATTGAAGACTGAAGATGGAGACAATAATCAAAAACAGAACATTGTTACTAGAGGAATAAAAAGATTTTAATGTTCATCAAATGATAAATAAAATTATCATAAACAGCCTTCCAGATTTTATCATATGATTGAGTTCGTTTCATCAATGATCTGAATCTCAGTTTCATTCATACCCCAAAAAACACATGTATTCATTCTGTAGTGAAAAATACTATAACTCACTAAAAGTTACTCTATTCCTAAATAGAAAACACTTGCTAAAATGAACTAGTAACAGTAAAATCTAATGATATTTGGATCGATATATGCGATTTTCTAGAATAATATTCATTACAGAGTGATGGTTTTATTTAAAGAACAAGCGGAAACCAGTGTATGATAAACATCTAGTTTCATCCTAGTTTAACAGTGAGTAATCTTGAACAATTGAGACTACTTTGCACAATTAATCGGTTAGGTTTTTATGTCTGAAATTATCAAAATATAGTTTACGAAATCAAACACTGTTCATCAATAATTGATAGATATCACCTGAAAGGTAATTAAAATGCGATAATGTTCTGACTATCGCTAGTTTATTTTATCGTTCTGGACAACTCCAATAGCTAACATCAATTTATGTTTCACAATAAATTAGAGATTGAATGAAATTTTCTAATTATGTCACTTAATAGTAAGTGAACTAGTTCTTTTTAAAATTTTAACCGTTTACAAAATTGTATTATTATAAATAAGAGTTTGAGTTATTTCATTGTCGATATGCAAAATTAAATTTTGATCAGTCTTTGGTTATTACTTACTGTGAGCGTTGTATTCAAGATAGTCATTCTGTAACAAGTTTATTAGAATAGATTAAATTGTGAAAAGAAGTGGAGTTCAAGACGTGTGCATATGCATCAAAATAGACAAACAAATTCAGTTTTGAATATCAACAACCCGGTAATTCAGACTTTTACTGATTACAATAATAATAATAAAATGGAAATCATGCTCATTGAACAAGGTTGTGGTTAAGTGAACTGAGTAACTCAGTGTATGAAGCGTTGTGAGTTCGAGTCGTTCTGTGAACATAAACACTGAGATGCAGGTACATGACTCTGATATGTTTGAAACAGGACGAAATAGAACGAATGTTGTGTTCCGTATTCCAAAATCTATCCATTCCTAGTAATAAGTATAATATTAGCATTTGTGTAACACATAAAATAAAAACAATATTTTGATGACAAAAAGAAGTCAGTTCTTCTAACTTCTCCGACTCATATTCCTGCAACGATCTTCGCTTTTATTTGATTGTTTGTTGTCATGTTTCGTTCGCTAACTTTGTTATGTTTCAAGGTCATTGGATGCAAGCAAAGTAACTGCATTTCAGTTTTTCAATTCTGTTCGGAATATAAACCTATCCCGAATGTCACATCGTCTCTGTTTCATATTAGTATGTGGATTATTAACGTTGAAGTTCTACTGTGACAGTCGTTAGGCACGATAAAAAACCGATCGTGAACAATATGAAATGTAAAAACTATATAAAAACATTGTTGATATTGAAATTTCGCTGCGTTTTGAACTACATATTCTGGATTTGGTCTGTTATCTGTGCACTAGCTAATAAATAAATGTCTTCAACATTTCAAGAACAATTTTAACACCGGTTATGGTTAGTGGGATAGCGTAGTTTTACCAGTTTCGGTAATCTTCGAATTACAAAGATAGCATAATAGACTAAATATTCAATCAGTCAAATGGTTCATATAATTCATATCTAACTGTGGGTTGATTCCAGGGGACATCGTTAGGCAGATAGCGTAGTCTCTTGTACACAATGTAGAAGCTGTTACGTATGTACGTTGGTTCAACTTATCACACGACATTAGCACAGGGAGATGAAGTTGTCAGGGCAAATCCCAGATTAGTAGAGGTATTGAAGTTATTAGTAGTCATAAAAAAGATTGGTCTGAAGAAAACGTTTCAGGAGAAAATATTTATTAGTGGGGTAGAAAACGTTTATTGGATAATTTGAAAACGGGACGGAAAATAATGAACGCACCTAGATCATTGTAAAAGAATTTGACCCACGTTACCAAAAGTCTCCAATCATCGATTACGATAACCGTGAGGACCCCAATCAGGTAGTCTTCACCTACTTACATGGCTCAGTTCAACAGTCAGTGTCTTCACAGATGCATCCTAAGACTTGGTTTGACCCACCGTAAATTCTTTCCGACATACTACAACACCAGCTCATGTAGCAAGTACGAAAGTACGCGTACCTCTTACAAACATGAAAGCCTAGTAGAATATTTATCAACTCAGAGTCCGAGATGTTTTGAATCTTACGATAATGTAGATTCAATTTCAACTTGAAAAATATCCCTTTATTCAAAGCAGAAATTACTTGCATAAAGAGCTATTCAGTCTCAATCACTGTAAAGTAATATTTACTTTAATAATAATAATAACAATAATAATATAGTTTGATATGTGAAATGATTTCCTGTAGCTTATCTAAAAGTACAATAACAGGAACAAAGGCACATTCTAAAAGAAGGAAATTAAATTAGTTAGAGAACAGGTAGGAGAAAATAAAATTAAAAAAAACAAGAAGGTGAAGGTTGAGCAAAAGAACAAACTACTATTAAATTACTGTAATAAACCATATTTCTCCTCTCATATGACCTTACTACTCATGATAATCGATATGAATCAAGGCTATTTGAAAATTCTTTTAGAGAAATGATATATATATATATATATATATATGATAAATCTTCTAGCTGAACGCTTCTAAATCTACACGGTAACTTGAATAAGAGAGAAAAATGTGAAGACTAGTGATAAAATTTCATTTGGTTTTCGAAATAAATATAAATGATTTAACAATACATGACATTTTATATGATTTATTTGCAATTAGATTAACAAACAGATTTGCATATATTGGATTGAGCTGTATTTTTAACAATAATCCTTCAAGAACTTACTGTGTGAACATATTTACAACATTATACAATTAAGTATCTATAATCCTTCTTAAGATGTGATGAATACATGTCACATCTGATTGGAAAAACATATCATATGTCTATTGTATTCCAATTAATTAAGCTATTACTCATTACCGAAATGATATCAAATTAAAAAACTATTCGAAATAAGAAAGGATCCGATAATAAGGTCGTTTTAGCTTTGAGTTTTAGAGTTCAATAGATAACAACGAACTTGGTTGTAGATTTTGTGTATGACATGGCCCAAAATCAGTCACAGTATCACAGACTCATTCACTTTTCACGTTCCTCTAGATTGTGAATTGTAGACTACTTTTATAAATGCCTTTTTATTCTGTTTTTTTTTTAATCACATTCTCAACATTTACTCTTTTTCATCACTAGTACCACTACAAGTAATTCGACTCGTTCGGCATTCGTCTTGTTAAACTCATCTCGTTATATTGATATAGAATGGGAACTTGGACTAACACAAATTTACCGTAGGCTCTATATTGATTATGACTGACTGAATCACGATCTAAAATAAGATTGGAACGGTTTTCAAGTCTTTTAACAAGCACTCTGCTAAGTATGATAATAGCTAGGGAAATAAATACGTAAAGCAGACTGCAGTGTATAATAACATATCTGCATTATAGTTGGGTTCCAAGGTGATTCTACGGTGTTTTGTAGCTAACAGTTTTGTTTAGTGAATTCGATCTGCTGATGTAATATTGCTATACTGATAATAGTCAGACTAATTCACGGATTTAAACGCTCCTCTTCACCTATTTTGATAACCGACTACTAACGTTACTCTATCATGAAGATTGTAGGTTAAAATCAAGTATATAGATATATACTTATTAAATGAGTTACATGAAGTGTGAAACGTAGTACAAGGGGAACATATTTATTTATTTCAGTAGTAAAACTTAAAGAATTCTCTCATGTGTGTACTTTCCAAATGCATTAAAGAAGTTAGCTTTGGTGAATATACCTACGTTTACAGGAGAACAGAATGCTTACATATGAGAACTAAGTAGTTATTAATGGTTCATTTCGAATCGGGAAGCTCAACCCTGTCATTCGTAAACAGAAATAATTGTTTTCCTTCGTTTTATACATCAGTACTATTGAAACCTTCTCCACAAGTCGTAGAAATACTGAAAAATGGTTCGAGATACAGATCGAAACTAAGATAAAACTAATAAAAAACATATTTATGTAGACAATAACAAAGTTTTATGGAGATGGAAACCAGTAGTAGCATGTTAGACTGTGAAGCTGGGTGAAACGAGTCCGAATCTCAGAAGGAGAAAGCACCAGTCCCCTCAAGCATTTAGTTGCTTCCTGATGAAAAATGCCTACTAGCGTGAAACCTAATCCTAAAATATCCTGTCCATTACCCCAAACCAATTAACAAAAATAAACATGATGAAAATAATCTTCAGTATAAAAAAACTTTTAGTTATCCAATAATGATCAATAACAAGGTTTAGACATATATATTACACTAATGAGACTTACTTGAGGCGCTTTATGAGGAAACTCTTGAATATCATTATCCAATTGTTCAAGTATATAATCATTACCAGACTCATGATTGTCAAGACAGATTTCATAAGCAAGTGTATAAGCTTTATGTAATTGATGAAATTCAACATTTGTCCTCTTTTGAAAATCATTATTGATATTATTATTACTATTGTTGTCATTACTAGTGTCCATTATTTTGCTCTTTACATCTGGATGAATACGACGAGCTAAATTTAAATAAGCTCTCCTACATTCCTCAGGTGTACTGGATGTTGATATACCTAGTAATTCAAATGCTTTCATTGCTTCATGCGTTAACTTTATTGAAAAATGGCGCCATATATTTAGAATGGACGTAGATTGATTTAAAGTTTCACTTGTTCTAAATAAAAACATCTTGATTTTATTATAAAGAAGAGTTGACTTCATACGAATGAATATGATTAAATCAAGAGAGTATATATTCGCATATGTGTGCAACCTGAAAAGAGGATTTTCGAAAAACACATAATTATTAATTGGATATATCGAAGATTTGATTAAACGATTTAATCTGGATTTTCATAAAGAGTAATTTAATCATATTTTTACAGTTTAGGAAAGTAGACCATGCGATGTTAACTTAGTGATCTTTGAGATCTAAAGGTCCTGATCCTAGATTCCATCTACTGAAGAGTCGCATACTGATTGTTCTTCCCCCAATACAAATATCAATCATATTTACAATTTCAGACATAAAACATCTACAATTCATCATCATCTTTTGGTAGTTGAATGTAAATGAATTAGTCCAAGTATCGTCAAATGATAGCTACCTAATAAGACATTTAATACGTTTACTAATTAATGTTAGATTAATGTTTTCTGGGAGAAATGGTTGTAATGTTCCAATCATAAAAATCTAATCAAAATCTATCGAACACAGAACCTAATTATTATTAAATAAACAAATGGACCGTCACATAAACTCATTTACGATACAATGAAGTAGTGATACACCTACCCACCTATCTAACTAACAATGGCTTTTATAAAAACCTTTCCCTATAATTATTCCTCATATAAATTCATTCACTTAATAAGAATGCTAATTATCATGTGACTTCCTTTTATAGAAACAATCTGAACAATCAATATTCTGCATAATAATAATAATAAATAATATTGAAAGAAATGTTTACAAAAGATAAATATGGAATTAATTTTCTTCGGTATTCTACTTAGTCCATTTATACAACCATCGAATGACCTTGTGATTCAATATATCCAGCATTTGTTATGAATATTTAGAGAATAAAAAGGAACAGAGATGATATCTTACTGGTTTTCTTTTTCGCACAATATCGAATTAAGTATAAACGGGAAGAAGAAGAAGAAGAAGAAGTACAGAATAAAATGCATAAATTATCCCTATGATAAAACATATTTTAAAATTTTATATTATTAATGTAAATTAAAATGGCTATTTTCATGTTTTTGAAAATCTCGTCAAATGTAAAATAATAATAATGACTGAATCGATCGATTGATCGATCGACTCGTATATAAATCAATATAATCTCATCAATACTCATTGAATAGTACATTAAAAAGTGTAAATTCGTCAGTGAGTTCAGTGTCCATTATTTTGAATATGAATATGGGAAAAAATGGCCTCTATTGAGATGTATAAATTAAAGGAGGAAAAAATGTAGAAATACCTACATAACTAGTTATAAAACACATTGTTTGTTAATCAAATGAAATAATTTCAACGAAACTATAATTTATGGACGAGTCAATCAGATGTAGAGTAACAGGTTTTGAATTTTGGCGCGAAATTCACTCATCCATTTGGTTAAATAGCGTTTTGGCATTATACCTTATGTCAGTTCGTAATGAAAACCCTAAATCTAATTTCTAACACTAAACATCAACTATAAATCATAATCCTAGTTCTTCACACTGGTTTATAACCCTCATTTAACACTAGTAAGTAGGTGGACATTTTCAAGATCATTTTAGTGTCTCTCAAAGACCGTCCATAAATTATAGTCTCACTACAGTGGCTTGACCAGTTAAAAGATCAGTAAACTGACAACTAGTGGTACCGAGAAAAATATAGATATTCTCATCTAGGGAGAATAGTTATTACAAATTCTTAATATTAGCTAAAGAAATGTTGAAAACTCTGAAACACGAAAAAATCAAGACATCTAATGACTGTAAAAGAAATATTTGTAAGAGTATCAGACTTTTAAAAAATTTTCATCAGTTTGTATGAACACAAATGATAAATGATTGTCATTTATTAAATGAATATTAGAATTAATAAACAATTAAATATTACCTTTTTTAGAATTATATTGAAAAGAAAAACATTTAAATGAAACAGATTTACATAATGTATGGTATATAATCAAGTATACATATTCTATAATAAATTAACTGTATTACATATTTAGTAAAACAAACCTAGTTCATCAATAGTCTAGTTTTTAAAAAAAATTTTAATTAGAGGCTAATAGACAAGACTCGATTTTATTATTAGTATTGAGCAGATTTTATTCATTAAGTTTCAATTATGGTCATTAAGTCAAACAACCCAATATTAAGGTCTATTTTAGTGTATGCACTGATAAATGATGGTAGTTGATAGAAAAACTGTCGATCTGAGAGCTTTATACATTGTAGAAGTTGATCAGTTAAGTTTATATACGTTCTCTAGGACAGAACGCTTTGGCAAGGTCACAACACTGGCTAATACATTCTTACTAATTTTATTACTATGATCACAAAACATAATAGTCTTCAGTAATGATAATTAAATGCAACTAAATATGAGATTCGTAAGTAAAATAATCCATATTCGAAGTTTTCTGTATGAAAAAAAAACAAACATTTAAAATGTTTATTTTTGCAGCCTTAGATTTTAAAAACGAACCTCGTTGTTAGATGTATATTTGTACTAACTAACAGACGACGAAATAGTTTACTCCTTTTATTTTAAATGTTATAATAATTATATGATGATGGTTAAACAACAAAATATAGTAGCTATCGATTTTTATAAGACAAAGAAACACAAACAAAGAGTTAGATATGAACACATACACACACTAACGTATAAAAACACAAACAAGAACATTGTATGGATAACAAAACCTGAGAATAAATCTACTAAAATTCAATAACTTCAACATATATAAAGATTTTTTTCCGTATATATGACCGATAATGTATAGTTTCATTAAGAGATATCTAGTATTTCTCGGATCGAACACATATTATGTGGTTCTCGTACTCTTTTTTAAATATACCATTGCAATATATATCCCAATCTGAAAGATTTTCTTATGGATTGATGTGGTAAATGATTTCATTCCATTTTTAGCATGTATTAGATCAAGACAGTTGAAGTGTATATATATATTGTATGACACATATTCAATCACTGTGATCCTAGCTTCACGTGTAGTGATCTTAACTGGAGTGATAATAAGAAATTAATAGACCTCGAATTGATCAAATTACAAACTTAGTGTACATTTATGAAATCATTATCAATGATTTGATTATTGTAAGAGAATAAATAGTTTTAGTATCGGTGAAGTGAATGTTTTGATACAAAAAAGGAATATCACATGAAACACCATTGATTCAATTAATTAGATTCATCATTTCTAGAATAATATAATACAATTTAAGATTACAAATTTTTGTTTGTTTCCCATTATGTTCCTATGATTTTCATTATCATAGTTGTTTATATCCTGTTATGATTCCTTGTAACTTATTGAAGTTTGAACATAACAATGTGGTATGGACTACATTCAATTCTAATTTGTTCAAATTAGTAAACTGAAAAATAAAGAGATAGATGTGTTAATGTATAAAACTTTTTCTCAATAAATTTCTCTTGTTTATTTTGATTTTATTACGAAATAACATCGTTAAGGGGACTATCAAAAAGCAGAGTGTAAATGATAAGTGTTTCGTGTCAAGAGTTGACAACTGTAAACATATTACATTTATAATTTCATTTTAACCTTACAATATTAATAGTAATAATAATAATAAACGTGAAAAGAAGAAATCAGGAGAGAATTCGCAGATGGAATAGTTAAATTATAATACTAAAGAACTTGTGACTAAATGACAATATCAAGCCAAATCCCTTAGAATGCACACGTGTTTAAAAAGATTGTTCAACTACAGTCCTTTAATATTAGCAATGGGATATTAAAAACCTTCACAAATAAACCCACAAATGAATAGGTTTCTAAACTCAGTAACACAATAAATAACACGTTGGCATATGAATTGAACGGTGATGGGTTCGAGTTTCAGTGCATACACCAACATTCAGATACAAGTGCATTCAAATAACGAATCCTATATAGGACAGAAATCATACCCTAGCCTCTGTTGCTAGCTCCTATAATTAAAAGTTTTTAACATATGTATATATCTCATTTTTAATCAGATGAATTTTAAAACAACACATCTTGTTCTCCATTGTTTGTAATTCTTTTGACAAGAAATAAACTTATTGATATATTAAACGACTAATTTTATTCATTTCCCTTCTGAAAGAAAGTTTCAATAATACATAATGCTTTTTTTTAAATAGTGATTGATTTTTAGAAAAAAATTCAGACTTGCGTTATGACAATCTTTTTCTTGATACTTTCACAAAGAAACTCTTAAAAGTTCAAATTCATTTCTAATCATGTGAACACAGTTAAAATTCAGGTCAAGACTTATGAATAGATGTATTGTCGTTTCGTAGTAACTATTAAATATATAATAAACAAAATCACTTAACTGTGATGGGATTTCTTCGAATAGATGTATTGAACTTTATAAAATAAATCGATACGCCGTGATGGCCACAAGTTTTACAACATTATTTCATCCAAAGTAGCTGAAATATTGTTCAAAGCAGAAATTGAAAATCAGTGTTTCTTCTTCTCCTTAAGTAAAATTGACTATTATTGACTGAACCATACCACAAATTTTCCAGAGAATCGAATCCTTATCCCACCCCCCAAAGAAACTTATCAAACTATAAAATGAACGCAGATAGAAAATTACTAAATTCTCAGAAAAGGTTGAGTTCATGAGTTAATATTAAGTTTTCAAATCTAAGACAGTAATGTTTGAAAATTCAATGACATAGAAGACAAATAATTAATGGACATCATTATGTATACATTACTGACTGTCTTAAAATCTCTTTTCAGTAATAAAGAATAAGTATATGTAATAGTAAAATGTTTCTAATATTACACATAAGCATTTGTTCAATAATATTTTATTTTAAAAAAAAACGAAAAAGGAGAAATTTGACATTCAAATGATTTCCAGATGCGATTGCAAAAATATCTCATTTGAAATGAATTCTAAGAATAAAATTGTATGAGTTTCACATATCAAAATAAAGATGATTGCATGCAGTGAAAATGTTTCGCAGAATCAAACCGAATTCTATGTTCAACACATCTTTTATCTAATAAATAGAGTAACTGAGATATACTACAACTTTTGATAAAAATTGAAAGAATACTCAACAAATCCATCAAACATTGAGGAATATTTATTAAGATAGAGTGTAATGAAGAAATCGGCGCTTCTCGAGCGGATCACGCATTTCAGTAAGGCCTACGAAGACTTCATAGACAATCCGAGATTAGAATGAATTTCGATCTCCTCCATTGATGAAAACATCAAATACATGAGGCCGCTCCTGCTTGCTGATAGTTAAGTCACTAAGTGGATGCGTTGTGATGATCTGAACTTAGTAAAATTATCGATGTACACATTTTCAGTGAAATGTTTAAAGATACAGTAAGATGTGAAACAAGGTAGCTGATTTCTGAGGGAACGAAAATAAAACAAGAATACTATCACTAACTTAGACTATTTTTAAAAGGATAAAATTGTAATTTAAAAGTTTAACCTTAATGACATCAGTTTGCGATAGTTTGGCAGTTTTTATATGTTAACAGAGAGGGAAACACTAACTTTAGAAATGATTTAATACCTTGAAATACAAAACATACTTATTAACATAATCTAGCGTAATTATCAATCAGCGTCATTGACTACTTAATACTTAGTTTTATCAACAATAAACAATAATACAGCCTAGATAATAGCTGTAATTAAAAATGAATAAACAATCAGATCCGCATTCTTATACCATAAAACAAAAGACGCCATATTGTTGAAAGACAATAACGTTGAATGTTATGGAGATAAAAAGCCACAATAATCGATGGTTGTGTTCAGTTAAATAAAATGTGTACATATTTATTTCATTTCCAGATTAATTTCTAATATCACCTACGTCATATATATATATATATATATATATATATATATATATATATAAAACATGCAAAAGTCACATATTCAAATGTTATGATCAATAATTATGGATAATCAATCATTTCAAATGTAGATGTAAAAATCCGTAAAACGGATCAAAGTAATTAATGAACATTGAACTAAAAATAATTTATTATCAGTAAATGTTGTGGAGTGTTGAATTTTAAGATTATGAACTGATCCAAGTTAAATAATCATTTAAGCGTGTTGTGGTGTAGGGAAGGTACCCATTACAGATAATGGAAGATGGTCACAAAACATTGTGGGCTGATTGAGGTTAGAGTTGTAAAAAATCGGATTCTGGCTCACTGATTTAGAGGTTAAATATTTCTGCGCGATATCGAAGGCCCTGGGTTCGATTCACGGTTAAAGGTTTGTGGATGCAAACTGCTGAGGAGTCTCATACTAGTTCGGATCGGCTCTTGAGTCCTTCCAGGTTTTCAATGGTTGTCTAACTTAGATAATCTCGTGATTTCAATGAAATAAATTTTATTTACTCAGTACTGTAAGAAAAAACAGTCAGAACTCACTGGAAGAACTAGTTATTAGTTATAATTAATGGAGTAACATCTATAGGATTCTGGGATTTTTATTTCGTTTGATATTTTTGAAGTGGGTTTATACAATGTCTTATGGATAAAACAGATGTCTTTTTCATGACACTTTGATTTAGTACAATCCTTTAATCAAAACAACCTTCATAATATGAAATGATGATGAAATTCGCTTAAAAACTATCACAAACAATAGAATAAAAAAATATCTTTTATGTATTATTTTCATCATTGATGATAAATTTTCACAGTTGAATTCACGAGTCGATCTAAAGTAGACCACCAATGAAAACCAAAAATCCCTATACTTGTAAAGTTTCATTTCAATAATAACGATAATAATAATACTTGTTTTTTCCACACAAAAACATCCATCATAAGAATGAGAAAATCAGCATCATGAACTCAACTATTAAATCAATAAAAAATATAAATAAAATCTATCTTCATCTTAATAAACGAGAGATAAAAATGATGTAATATGCATGAATTTATGAATATTGATCAATTTAACCAGTATAAGGTTGTGGAAATTGTTAAGTTTTTGATTAAGATCATGAATCGATTGATGTTAAACCACCATTGAAAACATAGAAGCACTGGATGGCTGTTTTGTCCTAGTATGAGACTTATCAGCAGTGCATATTTACAATGCCGCTCGTGTCTAGTTAGTTATCAACAATATAAGATCTATTATAAATCATATACTGAATTAATTTGCTACATTTTATTATATTAATCGTAAAGAGTAAATGTACCTATGACATTTCAATATGTGATTATTACTCACATTTAATATTTGATTTTGAATTTGGATAAATTCAGTTATTCATTACATTATGTATGATATTCTAATGTAATTTGATCATTTTTGCTAATATATACATTCAAGTTATGATATATGTTCAGTATAAAATTTAAATTAGAATTATTTAAATAATAATAATAATAATAACATTATGTATAAACGAATGATATCGTTTTCAGAAAAGATTTTCGTAGCTTCATGTCAAGTTTATTGATTGGATCAAGAGTACTGGAGAGATGATATTGTTTAAGCGTAATTGTGGGAGTTGAAACATTGTATTCACTATCTGAGTTAATATTTAGAACTGTTTTATCAAAGATTAAGTTATGATAAGTAAATGTAGAAGCTAATCTACTTTCAAAATGTGTAAATTTTTTTTAGTTAACCTTGGTGTTTTACATTTATTTCAAGTGAATAATTTTGTGTTAAGTCTGTATTTACTCGGGAGTTATTATTAAAAGCTTACAAGATATTGTAATGTTAATTACTGAAAAACTCCGATTGTTTGTACACTTTCTTTCTTCTGTATGCCTTGAAGAAATAGCAGATGATTACACTGGAATTCATGAATCTAACATATGATGGCTGAAAATAATAATTGATGCCATTGAACTGGTGTAAAACTTTCACGAATGAAGGTGACTGAAAGATTTGCTGACTTTGGAAAATATAAAATGTATTTTGAGAAATCCCAATCTGAATGCATCTTAATGAGGAATTTATCACAATGTTGCACAACTGGTACATTAAAAAATTGATTAACACGTCTGAGTAATTAAAATTGAATCTAAGTAATGTTACCTAAAATCTCCAAACTATACAGATTACGGTATGAATCCTAAGTCGGATAATCTTCACCTCCCTATATCACCCAGAACAATGGTCAATAAATTCATTAATTGATCATGTACTTACGTTTAGCTACCCCTAATTTACTCTCAACCTAGCCTTATCTTATTTATTATTCCAAATCAATGTAGGTAGTGATTACAAATAGTGTTACAAATAAATCGATAAATTAAAATTCACAACAGGTATAACTCAAGAAAACGTTAGAAAGTAATTCGAGATCAATTTGTATTGTTTATCACAATTACTTACTTGATTATTACGCTAGAAACTTTTCTAGTCTGTTACACAAAACACTGAACGAAAAAAAACAGAACAGTCAAGTTAGAATTTAAACGCAAACATACTATTTTTTGTGATTCCACTACAAGGCATGAATTTAATCCAAATTTTTAACTCTTACACTGAAAATAGACTACATAAGGAAGAACTAAGATAACGGTTTACAACATATGATCAATAAATTGGAGGAAAGATATTCAATGTCGTTTTGTAATAGGTAGTGCTTACAAACACTGACACATTACATTCTTATCTTATTTTAAACATGATAAATTGAGATGGATAATATTCATGAAAATTATTCAAGATTTACTGAACAGTAATTTCAACTATGGTAGACATATACCTAAAATTTAATTCGTCAAAATGCTAGGCATGAAAAATAAAAGCTTGATACATTGTAGCTGTGTAAAAGGATAACATCTATTTCACTATATTGTTCATTCACAATGACTATGTTTAACAAATGCTTAACCAGATGATCCCTCCGCACAACTGAACGATCAGAATTAACTTTAAAAACTTGTGTTTCCTGTTGCGTTTTAACCTCTTATCAAGTAAAATTTCTTTTAAACTAATGCATTAGACACTGATAGTCATGCATACAATAAATTTGGTTTTCTAAGTAAATAAATAGTTTCTTATATTTAAACTTATTATCATTATTACATTACCGTACTTATATATTCTGCTTCTAGATATTAATGATGAAATTATTGTATACACTGACCATCTTCCCTTATAACATTAGTCTCTAATAATAAGATTTTTATAGTGGAAGATTCATAATTGAATTTTATGTTACAAAGTCGAACCTGGGCAGTCGAGTATATGAAAGCTAAATTTCAACTATCAATAATTATATGTTTATTCACTGTTAGTTGAATCTTTGAACGAATCAATAATTAGTAAGCAGTGGTGAAAGGCATAATTTTATAACGAATCATTAGTATTGATAGAATCCCGTCTATCCTACCTATCCAAATAAGTTGGTATAACGTGCTGGAAACGATTGGGATAGATGTCTGAGCCTCAGTTTCACGTTAGTTATCACTTTTCAACGAGGCATATTCGTAGTCATGGAGGATCTAATTCACTTTGTGGTATTCGAGGCCGAATGACAGTTTTACAATCATAGACGTTACTGATGAATTATTCAGACTGTATTTTACATCATAAACGACTAAATTTGTCTTTTTCAAACTCGCGCTTAAAACCCAAGTTTACATGGCATACAAGACTGTCATCGGTTATTAAATTACACTAGTAAATTAATAATCTTGTGGAAAAAATTTTTATATAAATAGATTTATAAATGTTACTCAGACCTATTATACTAGCCAGTTATTTGTTCAATCTTCTTCTCTATGATTTGGGTTGAAACATAGAGTTGATCGGACAGCTGGCTAGTTTGATGAAGTACAAACAATTGTAATGTTAACCGGATACAATACTCAATGATTAAAGTAAAATTCAGATTTAATTAAAAGTCGGATCTTGTAGTCCACTTAACATAAAAAAATTTATTTAATAAGCTTAAATTTGTTGATATTAGTTCAGTCTTATCTACTAATTTCTTTCAAGTTCAATTATTCTATATTTATGGGTATATAATAACCCAATAACTTTATCTATACAAACCATTTAAAATTAAAAGTGAGCCTTTTTGTCAATTACAAAAGTTGTTCAGTAGTGTTAAACATTACAGACTAATCAAATTGTGTATACTCTGAGTTCACTAAAAAATACATTGAATACATTTAAACAATAATCACTGATATAAAATTACTAAAATTTTATAATTTTACATCATAGACCGACTTTAGCAAGATAATTAGTGAAAATCAAGAAGTACTAGATAGCTGTTTCAACCTAGTATGTGATTAATACTCAGCACTTGACATTTATTACCCGTCCTAGATTGAAACCCAGAACCATGAGGTCTTTTCCGGAAGGTTTAACCCTCAGACTGCAGATTTATCACCTAATAGTTTATATTTTTAATGTCAGTTAGCTAAAGTTGATAAGTTATATACAGGTACAAAATTTAGCGGTAACCACAAACCTTGATTGTAAAAAGTTATTGACCTAATCCATTACAATGATGATAAGACTAATCTCTTACAAACTAGATAACTATTTAGAAAAAGACGCAAAGAAAATACTCAACTGAAAGGTTGTTTCATAACTAGGCAGTTCGTGGATATCAGTTCGATTTGAAGATAACTTTCTTTACCATCTGATATCAACAAGAAGAAAAGTGAAAAAGTGGAACCAGTGTTTTATTGTAGTTTAAGATTACTGCTCATTAATACGCCGCTTCACAAATCAAACCAAATGCAGGAAGTTCAATTTCCGTAACGATTAGAATATCCTTAAAACACTAAGTTGAAATTCACTAGTTTGCATTTCTGAATTTAATCAATTCACCATATTATATGACGATTATTTAGTGCCATAAGTGACAATTGTATCATTAATGACTGCATCACCAGTCATAACCTTCAGCTGGAACCAAGGGGATTAATTTGAAAGCTATTTACTAGGAGTCTAAGTGAATATTACAACTATCATTTATTGTGATAGATTACTAAACAGGATGTGAGTATATTAGGATTTTGTGTAGTCATTTGAACTCCTAAGCGCCATGTTATATTTATATACATGCCAATACATGAATAAGATTAACGAATGTTTCGTTAGAAGATAAATTGGATCCGATCACGTAAGGTACCCAAAATCTTTGATTTAGCATAACGGGTCATAGTACTGGGTTCGTTGGTATAGTGTTAAGAAGTAGTAAGATGTCTTCCATAAATAGCGGTATGAGGTCCAAAGAGAGAGAAAGAATATGAATTCTTCCATGTTTTATATTATTTCACACCAGCACAATATAACACAACGCAAAGCTGGAGAGTATATGAACCCTACAATCAGTAGATAGAGGTTTCACTTAGGCTTCAAGTTGAGAACATTCAAGCAAACCCTTTAGTAAATATGTAGCAAAATGAAGTTATTCGTAACTGAAAAAGGCTGATGAAACTTTCACAATAACTAAAATGACAAGTAATTTTAGTAATTTCACTTCTCACGATCAAACTAAGCAACAATGAACAACTGGTACTGAATCAATATTTGTATTTGTGAAACTAGAAATGAATCTTATGCTTACAATTAAGATTTTTATTTTAACAATATAATAACGGGTAAAAACTGCTTTCACAAATATAATGAGTTTAATAACACGCATAATAAGTACTTAAGCTAAACTAAATAACATACCTGCTCCTAAGGCAGATTGTGTCAAAGAACTTAATATCATTCATTGAGTTATAAGGTGTTTAGTGAACCTAGAGTACGTTCTCCCTTTACTTTCATTTTAAATCTCGATCCTACGTTTATCAAGTTTGTAAACAGGACAAAATAGCTTTGCAACATAGCTAATGTCAGTTTATCATGACAACCTTGACCCTAACTCGTAAAGCCATCTCAAAAGTCTAACTTAACTCTTAATATATAAGCCTAACCATTTTTCATTGTCGCTGGTGTTAGTTGGTGACAAAAATTCTATGGAGTGGTAATCTTGAACCATAAAACCAACCTGATTCCTAATGTGCAAAACTTTATTTTTTTTACTGTGAAGAATAATTCGACGTACAAGGGTCGATTATTAAGATAAAAGTTGTTATTCTACTGTTATAATATTGCTTTTTGCCGTTAAATGGTTTGTAAGTAGGCAGCGTTACCTGATTGGCTGATAGGCAGCTCAAGGTTATCAGTATATTATACTTGCGCTAATTAGTCACTATGTAAATCGAACTGGTGATTAAAGTATCTCAGTTGTTTAAAGTTGGTTATTTAACTGCTTAAAAATCGTAAAGCTCTACACTCAACCTTGATCAGCAACTCTAACGAAGATATCTAGGTATTTACTAATAATCATGTACATATAAAAATTGGATAACTACTAAGACGAAGAACCGTTTAGCCTAGTAATAAATTTATAGGATTAACCACCAGTATGCCTTTAGTAGGGTAAGCACTTAGTGACTGATTAAACATTTTATGCTATCGAGTTGTACTCGTATGCAGAATAGAAAGCAGTCTCACTATAGAATTATTATTTACAAGGTAGGCTACCATCTAAAAAACACCATAGAGGGAACATGTCATGAACCGCTGTCTACGAAAAAATTAGTAACCAAATAAAATATTTTACTACCCTACACCCCCATGTTGACTTAAAATCTAATGATCACATCATTGAATTAAAATTTATTTCACACGACGATGCTAAAATTTCACAACAAGCAAACAAACTTAAAGCCACTAAAAGGATTACTGAATAACATGATCTCAACGCCAATTGACTGTCAATGGATACGTACAGATGTACATTGTTCAGAAAGCAACTACCCAACAAATAATTACTGTAAATATTAAGTTGGTAAAAAGTAGGTCGATGATTCATAACACTAAGCCTATTCTACAATGTGTATTACGAAAAAAACCCACAATCAACATGTAGGAAGAAATAATTAAGCATTCAAAATAAAAGAGATTTTGTGTAAACATCTTCATAGTATAGTTACAGTGTCTATGGTCAAGCAACAAATTCGCCGATTTGAACATGACTTAATAAAATGATTCCAAATATCGCATTGCTAATAGATACATAATAAAAATTCAGTCCTGAAATATTCTGATGAATGGATATATGGTCAGTAATGTTGAAGTACACTTACTGGAATCGGTCACATATAAGACGTGGAAACCACTTAGAAATCAAGTATTGACAATATTTCACTAACCACTTCTTTTAGCCTTCTATTACACACACAAAACCGTACACATCTACCAATCCATCGTCCCACAAAATTTCAGTAGTTTCTCGATTTTCATTATCACAAATGTAAATTACGGATAACATGAATTGGTTAAGTTTACATGAAACCATTTACAGACCAATAAACTTAGTTTAAGTAGAAAACGACCGATTCAGTGAGTTTTAATGAGATACTAAATGGAATTATTGCGATACCTAACATATCAGCAAAAATTATAATGCCTGGTCGAAATAGATATCGAACTGAATGTCAATATACATAAGTAACTTACACCTACGTCTACATAATGAACAAGTCATTCATTAAAGCATTTAGAATATAAAAAGTGATGCACTGTTTTAAGTGTTATTCAGTAAAATATGTACAAATTTATTTTTTAATAAACTTGATATATTAAGGGTATGAATAAAGTATGTTAGCCAAGTTTTAAATGAATTGGTCATTGGCTGTGACCTATGAAATGTTACCGTCACTTATGCTTTATAAATGAGATGTAGTCATGTTTATTTTGTCTTAATAGTCTTGTACATAAGTGTGTCATTATTACTAATCAGAAAATCTTAATTTACTGATCAGCTGTTAAGTCTTTTAATATAAGTTAAATGGGAAGAGATACCAATGAATCGATCATAATCAGTTGTAAGTCTACTAGCATATTTAATCAATTGAACATCAGTTTTCAAATAATGAATACGATACCAATAGAATAGTCGTAAATTCTATCACCACTACTATTACTACTCTATCGCTTCTGTTGACATGTAAAAATTTCAAAAGTTAGCTCAACAATCAACGAAATCTCCTTTTTATGTGAACACAAACACTCAGATGAATAATATCACTAGTCATTCACTAACAAAAATATGCACGAAAGAAAAAAGATAACCCAATATGTGAACAATACTTTGTATTCATTATATATATATATATATCACTAATATTGTCATTACCATTATTGATATTATTATTATTATTATGAACAACAAGAATGATTATGAAGAAAACAATGAGTAATGCAGGTCAATTAAAATGTTAATATGAATTTAAAACGAAAAAAGCTTATATATTCAACTTCAGAAAAAAAATCGACAGAATGCAGATAAACAAGGATAGTAATAACCATAAAAACAACAAGTGGGAGAAAGGAAAATAAAGGAAAGAAAAGTGGGAAACAACCACTGAAAACTTCCCTTTTCAGTTGTTTACTTGGCATAAATTAAAGTGCCGAATTCTCGTTTACAGTTTATCTCTTCATCTACTACGAATGTTGGGTTTTGTTTATTCGAAACAAAAAAAGAAATGCAGAGACCATGGGAGAAAAAGGAGGTGAGGTAAAAGAGTAAATCTCAGTTGTTATCGTCAGATAAATTATGTGAAACCAGACATTCCTCATATTATATCTATTTATTCAACATATTGTTTACAATAGTAACAACAGTCAAACGGTATATGAATAATTTTTCTCTATTTCACAAAGATAAATTGATAATGATAGTTTTTACTGTTACAGCTAATGGTTAGGCAAAATTGAATCATTTAACAGGACAGTTCTAAAATGACATTTCCTTTACTGAAGAAGGAATAAAATGAGTAATCATATCACCCTCAGTCGATTTATCCTGCATAACAGAAATGGAACTTTTACTTAGAAATACTACTACCGCTACTGTTACATGAAATAATTGATCGTTAAAAATTACTGAACTGAATCAAAAACAAAGGTTACAGTGAGTCGTGTGTGTGAACGTTTGGTTGTGATTGAAAATTTGAAAAAAATTCCATGGTTTATAACCAACATGTGTTAACAGCAATGGAGAGAAACACAAAATAGGATCAATCACATTGAGAGCAAGGTGGAAATCAAAAATCCTCAACATCGATAAGTTAGTAAGGTCGAAAATGAATTAAATTTTCCTTTGTGAGGACAGAATATTAATGTATATAGCGCATGATGACTAGGTTGGTTGTTGTTCAACAGTATCCACATTTTGTACAGTTGTGAATAAACAGAATAGAAAATTTCAAAACTAAATATTAAATTTTGAGACAGAAAATAAAGAGTTGACTTTGATAAATTTTTATTTGTTTGTTATGGAAATAATCAAATATATAAGAGGACTGAACAATAATTGCTTTTTCTTTTCTCTGAGAATTATCATGTACAATCCTGAAAGTGAATAATTTTTAGGGTGAAATTGTTAGGTACAGGAACCTCCACCAGTAGGTGATGGGGGATCGCGTTGTAAATATCCATGTTGTGGATTAGATGCAACGATTTGTTCATCTTCGGTGAGCAAAAGAGATCCAGCATATGCTTTTAAAGCGTCATCCATAGCTGCAAGAAATTCTGCACGGTGAGGATATGACATTGATAATAGACCGCGAAAAGCAGAATCGAAATGACTGTCTACTGTCTCACATCTACGGGAATGATTACTGTCAACACGAGCAGAGGTAGTTAATGTTGTAAAACGACGACTAGGGGCGCTTGAACGATGAAGAGTGGGAACTGAAGAACTTGAAACGGATGTTATCAATCTTGTATGATTGGAATATAGAAATGAAGGAAGGTATCGAGTTAAATCTGTATGGCGACCAAGGCGGATATTTGGTGCTACAGTTCCAGTAGGTGTAAGTGAAGCAGTATTTGAAGAATAAATAGAATGATTTCGACCAGAGGAACCACCATTTGAACCCCTACTTTCAGAAAAGCCACTATCGTTTTGTGCTCCAACTGATGCTGTTTGGCTACTGCGTGTGTTAGGTCGGCGAGAAGGAACAGCTGATGAACCGTCTTCTTCATCATCATCGTTGTCAAAATCATCGTCGTCATCCTCAGAATTACAACGTCCTTCTTCATCTTCCTCTTCCTCTTCATCATCTTCTTTATTGACTTCCTCTACTGAAGAGTTGCACTCATCAGTGTGTTCAGAAGATTGACTTTCTGATACGGTTCCGTCAACTCGCCGTCGTCTTCGACGACGAGCTCTACGTCTGATTGCATTATGACCATTGATTTCGTTGCCATGAGAGCCAGAAGAAGTATTGTCATCAGGATCATTTATTTGGTCACCATTTGATTGTGAAGGTGAAGATCTTAAACGTTTTCCACTTTGATGCTCTATAGAAGCTTCTAGAGCTGCGACCTCCTCGTCTGCTTTAGCTATCTGTGCGGGTGTCAAGTGATAGAGTAGAAAGTGGCCAAGAGTTTGGGCTTCGACAAAGTTTTTATCTTGGAAACAACGCTGCAATGCGCGAAGACCGTGTTCGAGCGCTGGTTGAGCTGGGAGATCATGGGCCTCTGTGAAAGGTGAATAATTGAAGGAAAACAATATCTTAGTATAAGAAAAATTCCACAGTTAATGATGATGCAACTGATTAAATTTCCAAAAATTCAGAAAATGGTTAAACATCTTTAAAAATAAATTCTCTACCAAATAATAACCTGATTAATTATTGGAAAATCAAAGACCATAATTAAAATAACGATATTGTTCACTTTGAGAAAGTCTACGTTAATCAATGAATCGGTTAGATTTATCGAATGCAAACAAACCCGTCAAAGAAGGGAATCTTAACATTAATCAAATATCCATAACACTCATGCTTTGAACAACAATATAATAGTCACTAGAGACTTCCTCTAGGATAGATTTCAAAACGTTTTAGTAAAATCAGGAACCACTATATTCCAACTTAATGGACTAAAAATGTCGTAATCGTCACCAGGCCTTAAAAGTCCTGAGCTTGATCCCATGTAATACAGTTGGTGGGAAACGATTGATGAATCTTACCCTAAAACAAAATAGTGGTAAAATACGTTCTCTTGTTTTCAATGAATGTAAACTTAAAATTGAGAAATTTGCATAACTCATCTCACTTTACCTTAACTAAATTATATTTGTTATTACTAATATTACACAAATGTTATACTTACTTAAGACAGCACTGTTAATAACACTGGCTATAGTATCTCTCCATACTGGATCTAGTAAACCACGTAAAGGACAATCGTTTGATGTAGGTGATGGATAGGCCAATAAACTAACAGATTGCTAAATAAAATATTTTTTCAACAAAAAATATTAAAATTTAGAAATTCATAATGATGATGATAATTCTTGGCTGAAAAACGAATTTATTCAGTTATTACTTAGTGAACTGTCAGAAAAAAAATATCAACACAAGATATAAGTATTCCCCATAAAAGTTCTGTTTGAAAAAAAGTCATGGAGGAGAACACATAATATGGCGACTACAGCCACATTGAGCATCAACTCAGATTAGAAGCCAAGATATTTTTTACAGTTTTACGATTGAATGAAAAATAAAATCAATATTCCAGTAAGATTAACATAATTAAAATTTGATATACTAGTATTTCATGGGAAATAAAAAATGGTTGAAAAGAAATTTTCCTAAAGTACAGTTATAAATATAATGGACAAGAAAGTTATTCATATGACTAACATAATCCTAATCACATTGTAAATAAAATAAATTCAGGAAGAAAAGTATTTACTGCTGGAGATATTTTTTTCCAACTTTGTTTTCGTACAAAACACTATGGCCATAAATAAACAAGAAAGAAAATTTGAATAACTCACTATAAACCAAACTTTATCTTAAAAAGCTTAATGGGAACTTTTATGTGTGAAAGAATTAATGTGCATGTACGAATTAGATGGGATATTTAATATATTAAAATAACCACTTATTAGTTATTGATTATCATTATTATTATTATGTTAATAGGTTTGGAGTCGTAGTTTGACGATCACTGAAGTTCCAAAATATCACCTACTGTAAATCTCATGTTACCTATACTTTTGGTGTAGCGGGCACTCGGATAGTAGTAGTGTCACAAGTCTTTACACTGAATGATATGTAACATAAGAAATGGTACATATATATATATTGACTCAAATTATCATACTACATCAAAACAGATGAAATTTTCGAGACAAATTTTAGTGTAGTAGTAGAATAGATTAGGGGCAGGACAATATGATACGAGGAAATTCCTTGCAAAAACTGAATGGTTTAAGGTCGTGTACATAAACAAAGTACTAGATGATTAACAATAACAGTTTTAAACAGACGAGATAAAGCACAAATAGTATATGTGTAAAAAAGGTGTATCAATAAAAATATCAAGTAATACTGTTGTGACATTTAATTTAAACCATATGAAATCACTTTTGGTAACAATTCAGTCAGTTATCCACAAATTGACTTAAAGTGACTGTTGTTAGAAAAGAGATGATTTGGACCGATTCAGAAAATACAATTTTCAATTCATAAGTGTAAACCTTTTAGTGGACTATTGGTTTGGATTGTATTACACTTTCTTTGATCTAGCAACAACACACATTGTGTAACTGACAAATATTTACCATGATATACTTGCTGGGTTTTTTTAATATGATGTATAAATATGTACTTGGGTATGAGACACATCAGATGTGAAGACTAATGATACTACCCAGTAGCCCGAACTGAAGTAGGTGAAGAGCGGTATGTATGGTGTAGCATTTAGAGTAGCTTATCTACTGAGTACAGATTCATAGATTCATTTTCAAATTAAGCTGTTGGCGTATAGCCTAGTGATATTGACGCCTCGATAATTTGACCAGAGTAGCTGAAGCCGGGTTCGAACTCGTCATCTAATTGGTTGAAAGCCAATTGCTTTAGATTCACTAAGCTATTGTTTCACTTGTTTCTAAATACACATTACGTCAGTTTACAACAGATTAGGGACTCAAAACAAAGCAAATTTCTAAATACGCTAATAGATAGGTTGATAAGCTAGTTATCGATTAAATTATTGATGTATAGAGCTGGAACAGGATGGTTTTATTTCATTTTTCATAAACAGTATCACATAAAATATACAAGAAACAATATGTTCTAGTGCTTTATTTGTTAAACCCAACATTATTTTCTAGAATTGGAAAACATGCCAGTACAGAATGAATTCCACAGTTAAACTCATTCAAGAATCATCAAACAGAGAGTTGAAAATTCTAAGAAGTATTCTGAGATATATTAACGAAAAAAATGGGATAGACTTATTTCAGCCTACTAGACCTACAATCGTATATTTGAGATAAATTATTAAAACACAATTACATGAACATAAATTTCTCAGGAATACCTTTGTTTCATCTTCGACCGTATCTAGAGCGCAAATGGTTTTGATTCTATGATTCAGTGTCTTGATCAGGTTGCTTTTGTATTGCAGAGAAATAAAGCTAAGAAAGTTTGTATATTGGCCCGTCCAAGTAGTTTTATTGTTTATGTTTCTTGTAGATGTTTGACTTACAAGGAGAAAATACGGGTCATTAAGAAGAAACATAAAAAAGAAAACCACTTGGACGGGCCAATATACAAACTTTCTTAGTTTTATTCCTCTGCAATACAAAAGCAACCTGATCAAGACACTGAATCATAGAATCAAGACCATATGCTCTCTAGATACGGTCGAAGATGAAACAAAGGTATTCTTGAGAAATTTATGTTCAGATAAATTACTCTTTAAAAGTCATTTGAATTTATATCAGGTTATATTTAATCTATATTCTAGTTAAACACTATATGTTTGATGCTGCGTAAATGAGTAAACCATTTATAATGATTACTTATAGAGTGCACTAACAAAATAAATCTTTGAATTTGGGAAAATTAAAACATTCACACATTTGATGTAAGAACATAATGAAATGATTATCATTTTGATTATCTAACTAAGATATAACATTTATCAAAATATCAGTACATATGAACTTGAGAAAATAGACAAAACTGAAAATTCAGTTGAATAAGACAATATTTTCCTTAAATCATATTTTAAATAATTGCGTTATTGTATAACTAAGCATATGTAAATAATATTTTTGTAATCGATACTGCGATATTAAGCGTTATACAGATGCAACTTTATGGAAATTAATGAAATAGGAGAGTGTAATCTACGCTAATACCCTCAATACGTAATAATTTTAAGCAAAGATTTTTCACCCCAATTTTAGATGACTTATCGTGTAATGCAAAACATTTCTGTCTAAGACATTACGTTTCATTTATGCTTTTTTAAATACATATTCGAATCAGTTAATAAAAACCATTCGAAAGGCTGTAATAAAGTGATTGCAAGCATATACTATTAGTCATCAATGTTTACCGTAAATCTACACAGATAACTGTATTATTTTAAGATTTAAAAATCGTATGTATTTCTTCACAGAAATTATTCTAGAAGCTTTTTAATTGGCTACTATAGAATTTAACAAAGTTAGATGATTAAGAAGAATGACATAAACTTTCTTGAGTTTAGTAACCATTCTTACAGTTAGTAAATGCAATCAAAAATACTAACTTTTTAAGCAGCTACAAGAAAATCCTGGTGAATAAGTCAGTTGGTTAGTCAATGTGGAACCTAATACAAAAGTGTATTAGCTCATGTCCTCATATTACATCAACACGTGATGAAATTAATGTAACGAATAGCAAAGAAGCTTAAATAATGTGATGAAAAAGACTGAACATTGAGAATATAGTCCGCGGAAATAGAGTGAAAAGGTATATATGGAGTGCTAAAACCCAAAATACAGAAGAAGATAAGAAGCAAATGCATCTATCCCATGTCACTCATTCTCCAATCGCTAGTCGTAGTTACCGCGCAAATTCCATTTCCGTGGTCTGGATCTACCAACAGTCAGGAACTTTATAGATTGCTTTGGTCTTGGTTTTCATGCTCCCAGCTTCTTTCAAACTTACTTCTACAACAGCTGAAATTACACGTCAAGGTAATTGGTGGTTGGTTAGCTTGTATCCCAAACACCTCGACTGATGAAGATTCACAAGGGCACCAATCGATCTCCAATCTTAGTCCAGTACCCTATTTTAAACCTCAGAATTGTGTACTCGGTCCCATATTACGCAAGCGATGCTTTGAAAACATCAATGATTAAAAACCTGTAGCCTATACATATCTTTTACTTTGATATGACATGTTTCACAGCTATACGGTTTACTCACAATCTGGTTGAAGGACAGATAAATCATCGCCTACTCCACAAATGAGTTGGTAAAAGATAGTGGTACTTTCCGATTATGAGCTAAGATTTCGTCATACATTAACATTACAGGGCTGATGAAACTTGTAAGAAAATTGAATTAGTCAACATACTCAAATACTTCAATCCCTGAAATCAATCTAGGCGATAATTCAGACCAGTGCTGAGGCTACATTTATTACTTGGAGGGAGAGATCATCCTAAATATGCTTTGATTGTTGCTCAAAGTGATCAGAAAACTCCGCATTTTCTAAGCATCTTCATCGAAGAGGACTACATCACATGAGTGTTTCTAAGTCAACGAGTGGATCTTCTGGTAGGAAATCAATTGCTGAGAACTTAGACGATAACGTCACCTCCATAATAATTTCTTTGACAAAAGTGGAGAAAGAGGGCAACCCCGATGAACACTTGAATTTGGCTATTTTGGAAACAATTCACCATAAGCTTTTACTCGACCGATAAAAGTTGAGTAGAGATCCTTCACAAGATTTATTTGCTTCGCTGATGCAGTTTTTAGTGACACAATGCCACAGAACCTGTTTGTCAACAGTTTAATACCGTCTTAAGGTCAATAAATACAACCAAATTCGGGCGTCCTTAATAATGATTTTCTAAAACCTGATGAGGGGTAAATATTGATCAGCGCATACATGTCCAGGTCAGGAGTCAGTTTAGTTTCCCAAAGTTCGCTGTTTACGAGCTTTAGATATGTGTCGGATGATTATAGAGATTAATGTTCAAGATTCTTCATTCATCAAATCTATCATATGGAAGCAACTATAAAAGATATAGAAATAAGTTTGTCATTCCAAGAATCCGACGAAGACACATAGGTTACTGTAAAAACTAAAATTGGTCGAGGAAATGAATGAAAAGCTGAAGTAGGTGAGTAGAGAGAATAACGATAAAGAAGAGCGATTCAATGAATAGATTCTCAACTAATAACCTCACCTGTAGTAAACGTTCAGTTTCTAAAGATAAACCACCTGTTTTTGCTCGAACTTGTCTAACTAAGTTTACAAGCGATCGACCAAATTGAACATGTCTTAGCAAGCATCGCATTTCATCATCACTGTCCAATTCGGAATTCGCAGATAAATTGAAAGAAACATCTTCTGTTGGCTTAGATGTTGATCCCGCAGAGGACATTCCATTATCGGCATCCATTCCTGAAGGTACATATGACCCATTACTAGACAGTTTGGATTTTGAATTGGTATGGGGCAAAAGAATGTCAATACACACACCTGTATCATCATCAACTCCAAAACCGTCGTCATCCTCTTCGTCTTCAACATCAACCGTTTCCAAATCATCATCAAGTTCTGTAAACAGATTGCAATCCTGATCTACTTTGGTTTTTTGTCCCACCACTTTAACTGCATTTTCTAGAGAAGGCGCTTTGAGTACATTTTCTGGATCTACATCCATTGACAAGGGCGGTAAGCCATTCTCAACTATCTAAAGCAAAGATTACATGGATAAAAAATTTACAAAAGGGACTTTGCAGGGGAAAAGTATATGATAAAAGGAAATAATAAACGATTAGTTACCTACTTTATACTCAGCAAGTAAATGTCCAAAACCTAGAAAGTAATAAGTCAGGTATAGATCAGCTCCACAAATTGATTATAAATGTATCTGTGGAGTAACGATTTTTATATAATCTATATGGGGATGATGTCCCCTATTCGAAAATCCTTCCACCAAATTAAACTTCACAGATAGCACGAATGTTGCTAAATCCTAGTATTTGGAACACCATAAGTAGTCAGGAAATAAACTTTTGGATGTGTTTCTCGTTTCGATAAATGATTCTGCAGGACAACTGGGCGTTGATGATTACAACAACAATAGAAAGTAGAGTTAGATTTCCTAGCTATGTGTTAAGAAGGCTTAAACATAGCTTACCTAAACGTGGTATTTCGGTTAGAGTACGAACAAGTTGTCAAAAGATTAGTAGCAGTCAACTAATATCAACGCTTATAGATAATGACTGGTGATCTGAATCCTATGATGATAAATCTACCTATTGCCACCCGCCATACTGTAAACAACTTATTACTCTATAAATTATCTTTCACGTATTAGCTACTTCCTTTAGCTTCTCACTAACGTTAGTGGCGACTTGGAGTGATACATATATAAACCCATAACTTCTATGGATAGAGACTAATCCTACAAGGTGTGATGTTTTCTTGTCAGTAGCGTTTCTGGTACTAATCGCAATTAAAGCAGCGTAATTTAAGTGACATAAGAATCATAGATGTTCTATGTAAAAGATTTTTGATAATGAAACAGCTTTAATCTTCAGTGGAAAACTGTTTTAGGTGATACTGAACATAAGCTTTATATATTTCTTGATAAAGAAATTTTTCGCTGTCACGCTTGTGTCTTTTAGGATCAAAGGAATAACTAAAGAAACGATTTTATTCAGAGGTTTGACACAAAAGAATAAACATACCATCTGAACAGAACTAGAGGTATCTTGAGATAACTTATCCGGTTTATTAGTTACACAACACCCTGAACCAACATGAAGAGACCCAGACACTCTCTGAACTTTTGGTGGAGCTGTAGTTGAATTGGAATCGTTTAAATCACTTCCTGAGTTGGATGCATGACTACGACCACGTCTGACAGCATGACGACGCATCTGGACAGAAATTATTGATGAAGATTACTTGATACATGATAAAAAGTGGATAGTTTTTTTTCTAAAAATCTCGAGTGAATTAATTAATAACTGGAATAATTTATTGGAAATTGAATCCAAGCTTTTTGAAGATCAAGGAAGTAATCTGAATTTAGTGGTTATAGAATACCGAATCAAAGGCAAGTTTATCCGTGATTTGGTAAACCAGAAAGGTAAGGTTAAGAAATCTTAAACCTATTTAAACTGTAACAAAATATCTGTTAAATACCTTGTAGCTAAGAACAGCTCTTCCAGCCGTCACAGTTTATAAATGAAAAAACTCTAAACTGTTGATTAAGTTAACTAAACCGTGAATTACTGATACTTTAAAATCATATTAAAGGATAAATAACGTAATTAAAATAAATACAGAAAGTGTGACAGGATGACTAATAACAATATTGTTTATATTTATGTATTTATAATATGAAAATACTATAAGGTACTAAGATATGTACCATGCGAAGTAATTTTATGGAGAGAATATAGAAAACTTTTTGATAAACCTGAGAAGAGTCTGTATCAGAGCATACAATAAAAGTAAGAACGAAAGCCTTTACCCATACCAAAAGTGAATCTTACTGTTGATAAAAAAATAGAAAAATACAGTCAGATAGCAACCGTTTTTATGTCTGATCAAGTCTGAAGCTACTGAGTTGTAAAATTACTAAGAATAACCGATTAGTCCTGATAAAATAATTTGCGCTAATTTAGAATAATTGTACCCCAATACTGTATAAGTTCTTTTATTCAATTTGTTTTTGATACAGGTGATTAAAATCTAACGCAAGATTCTATTCTAATCTGTATAACAATCTCGATTCTCTATAAGGAGTTTGGAAGAATATTTAGATGAACAAAATACACTATTTTATATAAGAAAGGTTAGTAGCATATACTTTTACGGATTTTTATTAAAATCATTCAAGACGATGACACCTACTCCCTTTGAGTCAATCGAAAGGTCTAGTTTTCAAAGCGGGTAGAGAAAGTTATGGGCTTAGGACATTAAGGTTTCTGTAAATAGAATGAACTGTATTTAACGTAAAAACAGAAACGTAAACTTACCATTTCAATTAACTGTCGACAACGAAGCTGAACTAGTAGTTCTGGACAACGCTCAAGAACTTGGGGATAGAAGCGATTTAGAGTAGCAGCAGCTCTCCCATATTGGCATCGTCGGCACAATGCTCGCAATCGTCTTCGGTGCAGCATACTTGCAATGCCAGGGAGTTGACCTAAATGAGATTTCGTAATTTCTGGAGCTAAACAAGAGCTATCACTATGACGGCGCTGGAGTACAGAAGGATTAGGTTCCTTGTACGTTACATCCGAATTTACATCAACATTCGTTTCGGATGAACTAGATACTAAATTTGACCGACTCGATATCTTTTCATTGAAAATCTGTAATTGATCTTTTTGAAATTCTGAATTCTGAACAGAGGATGCGAGGTTGGACCAATAAGAAAATGCTTTGGCTGTTGCAACGTAACCATGATGAACGAGGTATCCAGATACAAGCCTGTGGTCGAGCGTAAAAACAATTTTAACATATAGTAAGCTACCGACACAATCTAAAAATTAACGCTATACACCATGTATTGGCGAAATGAATATGCCTATTAATTAATATAGCGACTGAAGATTATCTATCAGGTGCTAGAATGTATTTCCAAATACTATTATTACCCATACACATCATTGAACATATTGAGTTTTGTACGCACAAAACTACAGAAGACCAATTTCCAAGGGTATATAATAAACGTTAAGTTGGTGATTTAAAATCACCAACCTGGGATCTTCAAAATTATCACCCAAAGTCATCTTACTGTATCGTCAATTACTTCTGCCAACCGAAAGACCTTGACAGACTTCATGAAAGACACTTAAAGAACATCCTAAGCGAAACGAAATGTAAATTATGTAGTTTATAGCTAACATGGGTTTGTAAGCAATCAGTAATAAATCAACTGCCTTTCGAACGCATGGTATAATAATTTCTTATGTTTGATGCGAATGTCAAGAGTATTCATAAAAATGGATAGTTATATTCAATCACTGAGCGATAAGGATCTAAGGAATAAATGACGTGTCTACCAGCCGAACTCGGTGAGTCCCAACGGAGAGTGGTCGCTTAGTACTTAAGGAGTTCGACTTCCGACCACTCTTCCTTACTTAAGGTTGAAAAACGGGATAATATCATTAGAGTATGGATCATACCTAAGTAACTGACGAATGAATTAACTAACATCGGTTCGAGTTTTCAGACCACATACATTAACAATTATCAAAACAAATCCCAGAACAAGGAGTAGTAATAGTATCAGTGCCAGTAGAAAAGATAAGGTGTATACAAGAAAATGAAATTTGAGGCTTAGGTTCTAAGGAAAGACAAAGATTGGTGTAGCTGCAGCATTTCGATTGACTCTGAGCTATATTACCCAATGTTTTAACCACTAGTTATGAAAACTGCGTGGACCACAACTAGGTAGTTTGCATTTACCAACATGGCTCAGTCTAACTGACAATTAGTTCATGGATCGATGCCACGTCTTCTTTAGACGCCACTAACTTTTCACAGCATACTCCTACACCAGACGAAATCGCCCATCTATGATAAACATTTGTTTTTAGAGAGAAAACTACTTACATCTATTTTAATCGGCATTTATATTTGCAAAACCAGAATATTTTTTAGTGGTCCTCAGCGTAACATTATCTTTAGATCATTTTTACTACTTCTTAGTCATATAAAATTAGAATTGTTATGAAAATTATTGTTTTTATTTAACACGATGATGATAACTTACTCTTTTATTTTTATTCCAGCAAAATCTTCTTTACATGTACGCTCAATCAGTTTGTTTTCACGAGATATGCGTTCCGTCTTAAGATGGTTTTCAAAAGCAAAATAAAAAGGATGTTGTCCAAAATTGGTAGTTACTCGAACTCCACGACCCTGTAGCCCTATAGTGGGAAACAAACGTGTACCAGCACCAACCTAAAAATGTTAAAATAAATAACTTTTGAGAAAATTCGACACAATGATCACTAGATCAATACCTTATGGTAGTGATTTACTGAGTAACAGCAACACTAATTTGCAATTTTGACATTGATTTGTTAACAATCATCTGTACTGATACGTATGTTCCAAACCAAACAGAATAAAACGAAGATAACAGAGACGCCTAACCTTGTGGATAACTCTTAACTCAGTCAGTCACAAAGTACAACCTGGTACGTATATACATCGGTTCAAGTTTCCATACCTCATTACCACAGAGACGAAATGGTCAGGCCAAATCCCAGAATAGTAGAGACAGTAACAATATCAATGGTAATAAAAGGATTGGTCATCGACAATTTGATTCAAGAAAACATGGATTAGTGAAATAAAAACAAAGGAATTTATGAGACAGAGAATCGAATGTGTGGAAAACCGTAACGTCTTGAGGAAATACTTCTGACTAGTTTAACTTTTTACCTAGACAGTTAGTGAGAATCTCTAGTTTCAAAATAGTTTGGTCAAAAAATGATATCAGAAGGAGAATTGTCGGAAAGCAAGCAGCACTAATAGATGTATAGTTTGTGGTGCATAGCCATGAACCCACACAGAGCGGTGTTGCACTTCGAATGGGTCTACTCTTTATCTTTATTTACATCCCGAACTACCTATCACTTTGCACACTTGGTGTTTTACTTCGCTTATTTGTTTTAGGTAGATCCTTTGTTCTGCTGATGAAACTTGTTGCAACTGTATAAAATATTAGACTTTGTGGTTTGCTTTCTAATTTACACAAAACAATGTAAGAACTTATATATAATAACTTGGTTCACTTTTTGAGTATCATGCTGCATGTGTAGTTCAGTATATTGTGAGAAGTAAAAGTTTTTATTGTTTAACGTCTACAATACACAACTTACTGGAACTTTTCCTTCAAAAGCTTTACCTAAAAAGATGCCATTGCGAGTGAAGAACAAGCTTTGTGAAAGGAAATCAACACCACAACCAATGATATCGTTTTCACTGAAGCGAGGACCGAACTTCGTCGATAATGTGGGTGAGCCATGATAAACACAACCATCTGATTGGTAGCCAAATGAATTGTTTTCAGAACCTGAAATTAAAAAACTCAGTAAGCGCCAGTTTTTAGTAAGGAAAAAATAAGCTAAGGAACTTGCGGGACCGCTAATCACTTTATGTACCCTACACTAGGTGATTCAGGCGTGTGTGAATAAATGATGAGAAACAGAAAAAGACAGATACCAAGCAAAACGTTATTTGTAGTAACATTAACAATACCAGTATTATTACTGTGACAAAAAGGTGGTACAGTAGATCAAATGATGAGTAGGAGCGTTGACATTTTTGAGCAAATTATCCCGGATAAACATGAAATTAAATTATCGTTGGTCATCATGCCGTTCACTAATAACAGGAGTTGATGCTTAAGTGGATTTACGGCATTTTACAGTAAATATAAATCTAAAGTAAAAAGAACAATTAACAAGGAATCAGATGGGAATATGACCACGAAAAAAAGGGAAAAATTAGCGCTTCGATTATATGACACACTATTTGCATGTGTACTTATGTTTTGCAAAACTAAATTAGTGCTTTTAGTGGGGTCAAATACTAATTAGAAACTGTAAGACTGTAAAATTTAAGCAACGCCAGATCTACTTTTTAAATAAAATAGGTATCTTAGGAGTCATATGCGAAATGTTTTTTGATAAGGCTTATGAATTGGTGAAAGAAAAGGGTTTCTAGATAAAAAGGGCACAGCAGTAATATTAAGCTTTTAGACATGTGTAGGATTGTATCAATAACTACCAAGATATGGGTTTAATTCTGAGACAAAAATGACCACACTGGCTTTGTCTAAATTCGTCTCCTATTTATGGATCATACAGTTTCGAAGCACAAATTTTGAAACACATCTGCGGTGCATAATAACTTTGATTATGCTAGAAATATTGTTTGACTTACGCTTATTTAGGACGTAGTGTACTTTGCGGAATTTTCCAAAGTTGTTAATGAGATGTCAGGATTATACACACAGAACTAGAACAATAGTGAAGCTAAGCTTAAGGTTTCTAATTGGACATTCCCTTGCATTTGTAAGAAGAGGTGAAAAGCTTTACGATAGGTTTCCTTGAACCTTATGGCAAGAATTGAAGTACGTAGGAAGGGATGCGTTAGCAAGCTAAATAGTCCTTCCTGATATTACAGTATTCAAATGCGATTTAGGTTATTTGAGTTGACTGGATTTATGTCCAAGTAAAAATGCCTTTTCCTTGAAAACAGTTAAGCATACCTACACGACTATTCAGAATATAGCATCTGATCATTAACAAGAAGACTTCCTTCAGCGGTACTAATAAACCCATTGTGAACACCCCATTTAATTGCTTCGATGGAATTATCCCTACTAAAGTGAGACCACTTCTAATTACTGGAGTCTGAAATCCATTTATCTGGAAAGGAATCTTCGATTCAACACCACTGACAAAGACAATTCAGTAGGCAGGTTATACTTAAATAAGTGAGGTGTAGCAGCGAAATATTAGTCATGCCACGTAATCCAGTAACTGCATACAAAAATGACTTTATGGTGCAACTTAGCCTTTCAATTTCAATGTGAATAAGAACCACATTCAACTTTGTTACAGAGCATACACTTCAAAGCCGTTAACGATTTTTGAAAAACACTCCCATAAGTAGTCCTGTTCTATTACATGAACTACATGAAAAAGATAGGTGGGTAATAGGTTTGGCAGTGAAGTAGTAGTGATACTGAAAGTCAACGTGAAATACTGAATTAAATTGGACAGAACAAGCGAACTGCTGACATACCCGGAAATTTATTGAGGCTGGAAGTCTTCATTGAGACCCCAACAGACAGACAACTAGGAAGAAACCCAGGAGTGAAAGATAATAGCCAATTACCCATTAGAACCCTTATTAAGCAGCGTTATTTCGAAGTAATATATTCCAGTTGTCAGAGGAATAGATGCATCTGAACGGACACAAGCCGCTTCCTGACCACTATAACTACTATCTGAAAATAAAAATAACCTATTCCGAATTTCAAAAGACCATTGCGTTCATTAAATCCGCTACTAAAAGACACAGTAAGTGCGAAATGAGATAATCTCAATGATCGCGATCGATCCTTAACATTCCAACACCTAGGTAATTTCTGGAAATCTGGCGACAAATAACTGCTTTTATAAAATTTTAGCCAGAAGCTATCGAAATCCTTCGTTAGTTTATCATATCCATTTGGGAGCGCCATTTTGACACAGACAGCTGATCTCGGTAAAAGGCGCCAAATGAGTTTACCACTGGTACGTAATTTGAAAATTCGTACCTAGCATGACAAAATAGCTAACCGCAATTCTTTATTCTTTTATGTATTATTATGAAATTGAACATTTTACGAAATGTTTACCAATTTTTTATGCTAATCTGTGCTCTGTTATCGTCCGTAGGCCATTATTTTAACCCTATTTTCTAACAGAAACACTGCTTGCATTCCATTTTGAACAGTTTTTCTAGTTAGAATTGTTCCAACTAGTCGTTTCATTCTCGGGCTTGTTGTGAAACCCGCATATCTCCAAACGACGTGTTCACAATTTCGGATGATATTATTGAAGTGATAATAAATCTCCTTATTACGCCCTATAAAAAGATCCACCTGATTTCGAACTTTTGGCTTCGCTTTTTTAGATACGAGGTCGGATCTTTGTTTGTGATGATTGATGAAAACTGGTAAATCATTGATAAACAGTAATAGTTACCAGATGAGATGAACCATATAAACTGGAATGTAGATGGTTGCATTCTGTAAGTTGTAGTTTCACCTGGTCGGAATGAGCAGCGAAAGGTGAAAGCATTGAGCTAAACTTCTCATAGCAGTTGATTTAATGTGTCTCGGAATTTACTTCTTACATCAATTCCGCGCATCGTTAACCAGTATGAAGCAACTAAACCAGTTTTTGGTGATTAATTTAGTGGCTCATATGCGGAGATGTATGAGGTTGCGAGAGCTCTGTTTTTACCTGAAATGCATCGTGCCTTGCCAGCACTGAACAAAAACCTTACACCATAGAATATCTCGACTCCCCTGAAAATTTGGGTAGATAATTCCACTCATCTCAGGAGACAAGAACCACTGAACTTCTTCCGTAGGAACATTGACTGGCGACGATGTAGTTGCCAAAAAAGGGTTAGAGGAAAAGAAAACCAGGTCAGTCATTTTGCTTTCGGGTGAGTTTTGGTACCATGCTTAATGCTCTAAAAGATCGCACACGCATTCGCAGATTGACAACGCTTTTACACACGAAAGTTTTGACTGAAGTATACCAACTCAGTCAAATAAGAAACAGGGAATGAATTCGAAGATACATATGGAAAACTATATGTCGAGAAGTGTTTGGTTCAAGCTGACTATTAGTTTCAAGGGATACGTAGCACAGCGTACCCACTCGTAATCTGGTGTAGATGCATGGCCAGTCGCCTTAAGCCAGGTGTGTCCAGTAAAACTAACGGGGTCGGCATCACTGTCCAAGACATACGGAGGTATTTATTCTGGGGATTTATTCACAACTACAGCTCAATCCCCCCTAGTGGGCCAGAGATGACCCTAAAACGTGGTCATCAAGACGTGTGGACGCAACGAGCCTGTCGTTTGTAAACTTCCCCCTTACATATTATGTTCGGTAGCGTCTGATCGTCTTTCTTCATTATGAGAGGCCATGTGTTACAACGTAAAAATGACAAAAGCGTACGATGCAAATTTCCATTCATTGCGAACTTGACAGATTTTTCATATTTTCCAGCCGTTCAGTCAAAGAAAAGACGATATTGTAAGCGCATGTTGAACTACACTCGTATGTCACAAAACGGGCGTAAAAAATAGGAAACTAACTACGTGTTTATGGATAACATGCACTAGTATGAAAAGGTTTTACAAAATGATATATCTGGATTTCTTAAGGGAAGGGAATGTACACATTTATGAACCTGTGAGAAAAATATTTCTGTATTTTTGTCACAAATACACAAATGAATGACATAAAATGTAATGTAATGCGGAGTTCGACACATAGTGGTCATTTAAATGTTCCACAAACTCAACTTTTCTTCGATGGCGCATCGCTTTCAGTCGATTTTTAGTAACTGGTGAAGTTTCGTTGTGATTATTCTTTGTTGAAGGGGCATCACAATCGCTGGGCTCTTGTCTTTCAAATTTTACAAAAATAAAACCGATATAATTGGGTCTTGCTAATAAATATGTGGCTTTCGGACAGTCAATGCTGACATTATCGTTATTTCCGTTCTTATCCATAATATGGTATTTAGATTTGCGAGTAATATTTGAAGAGTCCTTCGTATACCGTCTTGTGGAGGTCGTCGTAATGAATCGAGACGTAAAAAAACGTATGTAATTTATCATAAGGCTGGTCATACGAAAACTCTAGTTCACTGCGGTTGAGTGGAAACTGGTTTGACTGGATGTATTGCGTTTGTAAGCTTGCGAGTGTAAGGGTTTAAATCCATATTTATTGGATATGAAGAATCCACAAACTCTCATGGAAGTCAGACTGTCATTCTGCAAACGAGTTGTGCTTCAGTGTATGCATTGTTAGCTTTCACTGCATTGCAAATTCCAGGTAACAAGAACGGAAGCGCTTCAGTCTCTAAAACGTTTGCAGCTTAAAGTAAAACTTTTATATGTTCGTGAAATCGTTCTCCCAAAACGTTTGCTTGTGGGTGATGGTCTTTCGTTTAATTACTAATTGTGTAGTAAGAAAATTGAAAGGTTCAGATTTGAACTGGTGTCCACTGTCTGTAGTGATAGTTGTAGGGCAGCTGAATTTTGCCAGTCATCGTACGACGAATGCATGGGCCACTCTTTCAGTAGTAATTTTTTATGTAATTAGTTCCCTTTATGAATTTAAATGAAGCAAGAACAAATATTCTGCACCAGTAATTTTTTAATTGGTATTGCTTCTACCCATCTTGTGAAATGGACCAGACACGTTTAGTGGTAACAGTGTCCATTTGAATATGGTAGGGGTCCTATCAAATCAGTATGAACATTGTCGGGAGTTGCTAAATAGTCTATGAGATAGTTGTCTCGTCTAATCACCTTAGATTTCAGAAAGTTAACATAGTAGTGTGCCCATTGTCTCACGTATTTAGTCAGGCCAGCAAATCGTTCTGCCATGAGCTTGATGATTACTCGAACACCTGGGTTTATTTGCCGATATACCTTCGTAGTTCCTGCTGAAACCTTATTTCACGTGCAAGCTTCTATTACCGACAACAAAATATTTTTCTAGAAATTTTACATGATAGACTGTCTTCCATTATTGCCGAAACCAACTGGCCTCAATGACTTCAACATAATTTACACTGTAGATCCTACGGGACTCGTGAAAACTGGTGTTGGTGAACTTGAAATTTATTACTGAATAAACTGAAACAGGAAACAAAATGTTTGTAGAGAGCGGCTGCTAGAGATAAAACTAAGATGTGTACATTCGTTTCATGTTGACTACAAACTGAGGTCAGTAGGAAAGAACAAGCCTTGATATATACATTCTGAGAAATCTTTCATGATAGAACACGATTTAATGTACTGCAAGGGCATACTAACGTTCGACCATGGGTGATTGGGGATTATGCGAATTCCTGCGACATTTTCAAAATTCAGTTGGTAACAACAGGTGGGTGAAACACATTTTCGTAGACATGTAAATTTAAGTTCATTCAAGTTATGCCCAGTAACCACAGGGCGAACTTCATCTACACTGCTAACTTCGCCTGACGCGTGTTGCAGAAAGGTTTATTAATAATGACTTTATTCTACATTGTATGTTTGGTGCGATATGAAACTTGATAAGCCCCAAGCGAAAAATCTTGCTGAATGCTTTGATGAAACCTAAGAATATCATACAGAAAATCTATAGTCTTGAACTACTGTCGAATCCTTACGTGGAAGTCACATCATTGCCCACACTGGCTCGTCCTATCGTATGATCAATAGTATGAAGTCTAGAATTTCTGAAAAATATTTGGGCTGTGAAGAGAGTAATATATTTGATACAAAGGCGGGAGATTTTAGCAACTTAGATTAAACGGTTGGGAGTTGACCAAAAATATCCAAGTAAATGTCGGGACATTAAAGTATTCATTCACTCACCTTGATTATATTTCCTATGATTTTATATTGAACGTTGAGAAGCTTTGTATTTTTGAAAAGGCAACCTACTGCTCTACTGTGTGCTGTCACACGATCTAAATAGGGACCTATTCGCTACTAATCTGGTTTCTTCTATCAATAGAACAAGGGGTACTCACGAGAACGAAGTTGGTATGCCTGACGTGATTAAGAATAAGAAAGGAAAAACGAAGGCATTGGGAGTACGAGAATCGAACAGATCTCTAAGGGTCGGCTCCATAATAGGAGTCTTAAAGAATAACCATTTGATTGGCTTGATCTAAGTATCCATGTTATAGAGAGGCTATATTTCCTAAAGTCACCCAGGAAAAGAATTAGTTCGCACTTTACAGGTGTTCAAGCTCTATTGGTCATGAGTATCTCTAATAACCAACCAATGTAATAAAATACTTCAGTAACGCCCACAACGAGCCGGTAATGTAGATTTTCAACTGCGTGGTCCAGCACTCAAGAGGCAGTGGTTTGAGTGCGTGAGAAGGCAGTACTTTTGTTCGAAAAGCTCAAATTTACACGATCTTCACTGACTGTATGTCACTCAAACATGAGGAAAAAGTAAAGTGGTTTGGTACACCAAAGTGTCCTAACAAGCCACACTTGAAGTCATAGTCTTATTCGGTTTTAGCAACTTGAGGTATGAACAACACATGTGTTTTCTGCTTATTTTAATAGTAATCAAATAGAAAAGCCACATGTATGGAAGGTTTTAGTTATACGACGACAAGAAGAAAAATATACACGGACTGTTAAACACATAAATTTTTGTCACATGACAGTGGTAATTTCCAGACTGTTGTGTGGACAGCGGAAAACAATTGGTTTCGCCGTTGTTTAGACCTGAGAGTTTTGCTGTAAAGCAACGCTTAAGTTCGGGAAACTCGCATTCATTGGCCGTAAGTTACTCGGACACGATAATGGGTTAGTACATCAAAATATTCCTACAAGTCACACTGGAATGAATAGTGTTGGTGGGTGGCTAGCCTCTTTGAGTATGAACAAAAAATTGTTTACTGCCCGTGGTGATAATAATCAAATAGGTTCTAGTTACATGGCAACAAACATATGTACGAACTGCTGAATATATAAAATGAGGTTTCGTGACATGTTATTAGTGGTAATTC